TTCACAAGCCCCCAAACTGAAAGAAAAAAGGAGACCGGCTGCCCAGTGGATCCCAACCTACAGCAGCCCTGCAGGAGGGGGAGACCTGTCCCTGGAGGAGGACAACCTGCTGGGTGAAGTAGCTGGGCAGTGACAGAGGAAGGTCCTTGACGATGGATGGACACCTGGCTGCAACCATGGGTTGGCTCACACATGACAGCGGCTGTGAGGACGGTCCAGGACCAGCGGTGGTTTGTTCTGTTGGACACAGGGGCTCGCTGTGCGTCGGTACCGACGTCATGCACCTAACAACAATTGTTACGGAAGCAGATGACCACCCCTTTCGCCTGCAGCGTGTCTGGCGGGTTCAAACTATCCACGTGTCCTTTAGCAGCTGAGAGATTAACCACCGTGCCACCAGGGAGCACTCAAAATGTCACCAAACCAAACTGTGGTGGTTACATAATCTGGTGTCAACTTGCGAAGGGGTGGAGTCTAGCCTGTCAATCAGGTCGCAGCTGGATGACCTCATTTGGAGGCGCCAAGGAGATAAATAGCTCACTGGAGGCCAGAGACACATAGACTCTGCTTGGTCATCCTGTTGACAAGTTGCATGGAGTTATGGTGATGGGACCAGAGCCCTGAAGCTGGAGGAGCACGTGGAGACCCATACCAGGGCTGAGATGCTTCCACCGCCACTGGATCCACAAGACATTCCACCCACTGGCTTGTGATCTTCCCGCATTCAGCATCATTGCATGTGTTGCGTGAGTCTGAAGAGGAATTTACAGACTGGTATTGGACATATGGGCTGATATTAGACTTATGGACTTGATCTGGGCTGGGCTGGGATGTTTTCTTTTCCTTCTTTTTTTTTTTTTGGTGGGTGTGGGAAACAGAAAGATTTCTCCCAAGTCATTTCCCCCAAATATATGTTAGACTTAGGATACTGCTTGCAACTAATGGTGAATGATTGTCAAGTTATCTCCCTGAAGGCAGTCTGGTCCCTGTAGGTGGGGTTTATACCCTATTGATAATGGTTTCCATGGAGAATCAGAGACCAGGTCAAACCGGCTCAGTAACATCCAAGGTTAGGCTCCACCCTGAATCTAGGGTCCGCCCATCTGGACACATGTGTACCCCCAATACCTCCCCTTCCTATTGTGTGGATATCCCTAGATTGTCCCCCTCGAATTGATGTATTATATATAGTACAGCCCCTTCCTGTGACATATGTCTTTACCTGTAATTAGTGGGCTTGCACGCCCCCCAAAGATGTATAAACTTTGGTTAGCCATAAACTCTCTGGCCCTCTCTCCTCTCCCCTTGGCTCTTCCGGTCCTCTCTCCCCTCTTTCCTTTCTGCTTGTCCTCCTACCCCTCCCCCTCTCTCCTGCCCTCTGGTCTTCCATCTCCACATGGACCTACTAGGGACTCCTGTACTGATTCTGACTCAGTGGTCCCATGTACAATAGACGGACACACCGCCCAAGCCTGGGCCATCCTCACAATTGTCCCTGTTTGAGCCCATTGTTGCAGCCACCGAGGCTCAACCCACTGCTACCAGGTCAGTTCTGATTCCTAGTGACCCTGTAGGACAGAGTAGAATTGCTTCAAAGGGTTTCTGAGACTAGACATCTTTATGGAGCAGACAGCCTCATCCTCCTGAGCTGCGGCTGGTGGATTTGAATGGCTGGTCTCGTGGCTAGTAGCCCAGAGTATAATTCACCGCACTCCCAGAGCTCCATATTTTGAGGCTTACCCCCAAAAATCAAACTCACTGCCATCTGGTCGATGCCAATCAAAGCAACCCTAGAAGACAGGGTAGAACTGCTGCCTCTGTGGGTTTCAGAGATGAACTCTCTATAGGACTAGACAGCCCCCTGTTTCTTTAAAAAAATCATTTTACTGGGGGCTCGTACAATTCTTTTTGCAATCCATATATCCATCCATTGTGTCAAGCACATTTGTACATTTGTTGCTATCATCATTCTCAAAACGTTTGCTTTCTGCTTGAGCCCTTGGTATCGGCTCCTCATTTTCTCTCCTCCCTCCCCGCTCCCCTCTCCCTCATGGACCCTTGATAATTTATAATTATTATTTTGTCCTATCTTACACTGTCCAACATCTCCCTTCACCCATTTTCCTGTTGTCCATTCCCCAGGGAGGAGGTTATATGTAGATCCTTGTAATCAGTTCCCCCTTTCGACACCACCCTCCCGCCACCCTCCCTCCACCGTCCCGGTATCGCCACTCTCAGCCCTGGTCCTGAAGGGATCATCCATCCTGGATTCCCTGTGTTTCCAGTCCCTATCTGTACGAGTGTACATCCTCTGGCCTAGCCAGATTTGTAAGGTAGAATTGGGATCATGCTAGTGGTGGTGGTGGGGGGATCAGGAAGCATTTAGGAACTAGGGGAAAATTGTGTTTCATCGTTGCTACACTGCGCCCTGACTGACAGCCCCATCTTTCATCTTGAGGTTTAGGGATGCAGAAATCACAAGATGAGCAGTAGACAATGAAAGTGAAGGGCAGGTGTAAGAGAGGAGGGAGAAGAGTGGGTATTACCTGCTTGCCGTCTTGGTCTCGTAGAAGAGGTGTTAGAGCTGGGCAGAGGGACTGTGTCTTGTTAAAGGACCTTGTACAACAGACCTGTTGGGCTCATCACCCTAAGAGTTTTGTTTCCTCCAAGCCCACCCTGGATGAACAGCCAGACAGTTCCTCTTTCTCCCCCTCTTGCTGCTCCAGTGGAGACAGACTTTGGTTTAGCAGTTGTTGGCCTTTCTCAGAATAAGAGAGCATGCAGACAATGTTTAGGAGCGTGTCCAAACTTGTCAAGACCTTCCTAAAAGCACCCCCCCCTCCCCCCTGCTATCTCACCAACAACAGGAAGGAAGCTTCCATGGGCTGGGCAATGAGTTACTCAGTCTGCCAGCTCACCCTGTGTGCCAGTGTGGGAATGCAAGAGCTGGTGTTGGCATTGACATGCCCAAGGCAGCCTCCGGCCTCCCACTCCCACACTCCTTTGCTCTAAATTTTAGACTTCCTAGCAGCAGTTTGAGCTACTGAGGCAGCAGGGCAGGAGGAGCTAGGGCCTGCCTCTAACTCACCCTGCCCTTTGCAGGCTCCTGGGGAGAGGGTGGGATTCTTCCCAGGAAGGGAGTGAGTACCTTTCTCAGCTTGTTCTATTCCCCACCCATACCCCAGGCAGGGTTGGAAATGAAGGACTTTTGTAAACCTTTTTGTTTTTAAAAAATACATCTGTAAAATCGGAAAAAAAAAAAAAGAATAAGACAGCGCGATGGTGAAGTGCTTCCTCTGAGTGCAGGAGCTGGGGAGGTAGGATGGAAGCATTAGGACTGAAGTCCTTTCGTATTAATTCATTAGCACCTGGCCACATCTCTTGCTTCATTTTCTCAGAGCCCAAGGCCAGGAGGCTCTGACACAGAAGGATCCCAACTCCAGGCCATTCCTGCATCCCAGAAAGAACTTGCATTATTGCCCTGGATGGCTCTTAAAGGTGTCCTGGTAGCAGGAGAGGACCTGGAGCTGCTTCAGGACAAGGGCAGCCAGATTGTTCACATGTTTTAAATTATGCGGTTGCATCAAAAGAATTCAGATTTGTGAGAAGAACAACAACTCTATTTAAGAACTCCACGCATGTGATGGGTGAACTCAACATCTCCGAGCAGCTCCCAGCTTCTGGCCCATGCACCAGGAAACTTCTAAGAGTCGCTTGGGTCCATCTGCGTCATCACCCAACTCTTGGACTAGATCAAGTACCATCCAAGGGGCAGGTGCTTTGCATATAAGTACATTCGAATGACAGATTAAAAAAAATCAAATCAAACCCCTGGTCTCATCTCCCACAGAAAGGAGATATTCTTTAACTTAGGGAACAAGCACTGCGATGTTTGCAAGAATTCATGATTTTTTTTGGCATAGGGGGTAGAGTTATGTGAATGCATTCCCATGGGATGCTGCCTGTGGGATGCGGGCAGAATGTATGAGTGTTTGTAAAGGTCTCTGGGTCTCAGACTACTCTCCTCACAAATCTGCTTCATCCTTTTTGGTAAGACTCAAGGGGAGACCACCCCCCTGAAGTTGCCCAGGAGCCCACAATGTGTACTTTACTTCTGTAAAGGAGCCGGGGATCGATGCATCTGTATGATTTTAGGTTTGAGATAGTGGTGCCATGGGATACACATTGGGCTGCTATCCACCAGGTCGCCGGTTCAAATTCACGTTCCAGCGATTCCACGACAGAAAGAGGAGGTTGCCTGCTCCCATCAGAATCTAGTCTCAGAAACCCCAGCTAGAGTTGCTACAAGTTGGAACTGACTGATGGCACTGGGTTGGGTCTTGGAGTCAGGTACATAGTAGGTCTAATCACTACCGCCATTCTTGGGCTGCTTCTGATATGCCAGGGACTGTACCATGTGCTTAATGTCACACCACCTAACATCCAAAAGGCAGTAAGATGACCTCGAGAGGGGTTGCCCCTTTCTCCCAACAACCGCTTTAAGAAGAGACCTACCTGCTGTGAATTGAGTTGCATAAGAAACTTGAACAAGGGAAGAAATGGTTGCTGTTAGAGGCACGAAGTAGGTAAAAGCTTTTAGGAAGCTACCCAGCAAGGCACCGCGCCAAGAGGGAGTCTGGTTTGCAAACAACAGTTTCTCTGCTACAAATCCCTCCGGTCTAGTTCCTCCCCAAGTTGAAGAGGAATTCAGACTGGTGACCACTGCCACCAGACCTCGAGGGTGGGGGCTGGAGCTGGGGAAGGAGGTCAGAGCAAGCAGGAGCTAAAACAGGCGAGGAGGAGGGAGTGGGTGAGAAACCCCTCCCTCAGCGCTCTCGCATCTCAGTCTTGGGCAGCAAACAGGACCGAACAGCCAGATCCCTCCAGGATCACCGAGACAGGCTAGTTTCTCTCTAAGGCCCGAAGCAAAAACCTGGGGCACCTACATACTCACTGGTATTGGTGGGATGGAGGGGAGGAGGGCCGGAGGAGAGTCTTACCTTATGCAAGATGTGCTCGTGGAAGTCCGGGCGAGCTCCCCCCTGGTAGGAGTCGGGTCTCTGCAGGTCCATGCCGGACTTGTAGCTCGCTGTCCACCCCGCTCGCCCCACGCTCTGCGTCAGCGCTCGCAGAAGCCGCGTCCGGGCTCCGCTGGGTGCGGCAGGCTCCCTGAGTCCCGCGGGGCCGCCCGCATCCGGGTTCAGCACCGGACAGCTCCGCAGGGGCCGTGGCGCGCCACCAGAGCGCAGCCTCCCGGGCGCGGCGTTTCAGCACCACGGACAGCGCCCACTGCGCCCTGATGGGAGCAGGCAGCCTTCTTGCCGTCCGCCTCCCGGTGCGCTGTCCCGTGACTCCGCCAGATTTCAGGTGTCGCCCGGGGTCCGTGCGCCGGCGGTCTCCGCAGGGCTCGGCCGCCCCAGTGCGTTCTCTGGGCTTTGCGGTCCCGGGTTCTACTTCTCCTTCCCGAATGAAAGAGCGTCCGGGTCACGTTACCCAGCTCGGCTCCCTTCCCGCGGGTGCGGAGCGTCCTGCGGCGCTGGCGCAGCTGCTTCGTCGGTCCCTGGACAGTTTCCTCCAGTGCGTACGTGGATGACGGCTTTAGAGGTCGCTGAAGGCCTTTGAAATATTACTCCACAATTCTGCTCCACTGCAACTCTCCTAGCTCTTTTAAACACGAGAAAACTTAAACGATCTCAGAGAATAGGAATGATTTGTCTCAGGCACATGGGTGGGGGCGGGGGACGAGTCAAACCCAAGAGTCAAATGCTCCCTTTCAACCCCAGCCCTGGCTCGTTCCCTCTATGTCGATGTTGGTTCCAAGGTCTCTGGTTCGTGGACTTGCCCCTAGGCTCATCTCTGGTTCGTGGACTTGCCACAGGCTCAGTCCCCAATGCCCGTGGGGCCAGTCTTGCACTCCCCTATTCCAGGGGCTATCGCAAGTTTGCGAGGTGGTGTTCAGAGAAGCCAGCCAGGGCTCCCCATCCCCTGGCCACTATCATCAAGTTGATTTCCCAGGGCAAGGGGCAAGAGCTTGAATTAGCTTTTCAAAGATGCACACGGTCCACAGGAGGCGGCATGGTGTCTGCATTAAAGAGCCTTGGCTCTGAAAATGATTAGATGTATATCTGTTGGGCGTGTTACTTAACCTCCCATTGTGTAAGCGCCTCAGGATACCAAACCACTTCCTGTCCAGTGGATTCCGACTTGTGGTGACCGACCCCATGTGTTTCACAGTAGAAGTGCACTCGCTAGAGTTTTCAACCCCTGGAACCCACGGGGAGTGGACGGCCAGGACTTCCTGCCACGTGGCGTTATTGTGCAGGTATAATGAGTTAATTCATGTAAAGAGCCTAGAATGATACTTGGCCTATACCGAGAGCTCAACAAACGCTAGCTCGCATTCTGTCCAGGAACCCTGGTGGTTAGAACAATATGCCGAGAACCAAAAGTTTCAACCAGCCACTCCGAAGGAGAAAGATGTGGCAGTCTGCTTGGACAAATGGGCCGACTTGGAGACCCTCTCTCCTAGAGGGTCACTGTGAGTTGGCATCAGCTGGAAGGCAGTGACAAGAGGAGAGGAAGCCCTGGCTTCCTCCTCTAAACATTTCAGGGGAGTCCTGTTGTTGGGGACCCCATCTTTGCAGAGTTGCATTAGCCCCTGGATTAGGGAATGCAAGACTACCCATCATGGACAATGGGGGTTGAGACTGTGACCTCCGGAATATTCCCCATTTGATGACCCTGGTCTTCAGCGGACAGCTGGCTGACTAGGAGCAAGTCCAAGGACCCGTGACCTTGGGGCCAATATCAACAGAGAGAGAAAGAGCCAGGGCTAGAGTTGAAAGGATGCATTTAACTCCTGGACTTGATTTTTTTTTGCTATGTTCTTAAGATAAATCATACATAATATCTGGTTTGTTTCAGATTTCCCATGTTCAATATAGGTAGAATAATTATGCCTACCTCACATGGTTTTTGCAAAGAGTCAATGAGACAATGTATGTGGAAATCTCTCTTCTGAAGTGTGAATCAAATTCCACATGGGAGGTATTATTAGTATTAGGATCTCTGTATGGGGTACTTCCAGTGAAGAGTCATTAAAAGGATCAGAGATTTTGTGTGTAGGAGATTCTCACTTGACCTATGGTTGTGGGTCTTTCAAAAACTTGCCCTCGTGAAGTAGATGAAGTTTACAGAGCAAATCACCCATTTTACACTCAACATCCACACACGTTTTGCTTCAATTCATCCATTGCAACCCCTCAATGTACTGCCATCGATCTCCCTTCCTCCCTAACCCTCTGACACTTGATGCTGTCCTTTTGAGCTCACACGATTGCTTATTCTAACGGGGGGAGGAGTGCAGTTCCAGACCAGCAGGATGGCTAAGGGACATAATCCTGGGGTTCCACTAGTCTCTGATCAGTAAGCCTGGTATCTTTTACGATTTTGTTCTACATATTTCCCTTATTCTATCCAGGACCTTCTAGTGTCACCCTTTTCAGAGCAGTTGGTGGCAGTAGCCACAGGCACCATCTGGTTCTTTTGGTCTCAGGGATGTGGAGACTGCTGTTTGCTGGTCCATGAGTCTATTGGATTAATTGTTTTAATTGTTTCCGTGGATTGACTTTACGGTTGCCATTCTCAACCTAAGACAGGCTCTAAAGGAAACTGTGAAATGTTGAAAATATTATTCATAGTTTCCTTTAGGTGCACCCCCCCACCCCACCCCCCGTGGAGAAGTTCCATAGATCTCATTACATTCTCAAAGTTGTCCTTACTCAAAAAAGTTAAGGACTGACAGCTTAGGGGACCCTCTCATGTCAACTTGCCCCTGAACTTGCTCTCCACCTGACTGTGATAGAGAAGAAGGTTCTGGAAGCTAGTGGTTGCTTTGTCCCGATCCTCACATTTCTTGGAAGGGTTACCATTTCTAAGCATCTGCTTCTGAACCCTGAAGGTTGGGGAAGGGGAGTGTTCTAGAATTTCCCAGTTGAACCTGCCTTGTTGGCAGGTCTGTCTCTTTCCTGGATTCTTTTTGTTACATGGCACTTGAAAACCCCATTAAGTGTGACAGACCAGAGGGGCTACTCTTCTCTCTCGAGAACAAGACTCTAGATCACCCCTGAAGAGAAGGCCTTTGTTGTGGAGCAGGATCTGGGCATATTTCACAAGGAGCACCGTCCCTCTCTGCCAGCGTAAGGAGGAGATCTCTCTCAGACCTTTACGGTGAGATCCTGGTGGGCTTCCTGGAGGTAAAGCCCCATGGCAGTGCAAGGCCCTCCTCTTAAGACTGTGGTCCCCAGAGCTGCTTGCTCTGACATTAATTCACCTTCAGCCTCCAGCAGTTCCTCAAACTTCCAATTGAAGGATTCCTACTGGTTCAAGGCTCCCATGGTCGATGTTCTAGGCAAGCAGATGCTGGCTGGTGCTTTCTGAAATTCACTGGGTTTCTGGGGGGCGGCCGCTCCTGAAACCTCAGCTCTCTGACGGATCTGAGAACAGTCATTGGTTTTTAGTTTGCCAAGATGTTCTTGTTGAAAGGATGGGGTGGTGAGTTCCAAGCTCTTTACCTGTCAGAGCTCAAACCACAAGTCCGTTATTCAGAAGTAGAGTATTATCTCTCCTGGGACAAGAGATAAGAAAACAAAAATAAAACAAAGCTCCAATCTCTTTTTCTGGGCTCCGTGCCTTGTCTTCCAGACCCTTTGGTAACAATTCAAATTAAGATAATCATTTTCAAAGAAAAGTTGCTCCCCCAGTAATTCCATTTTGGGTTGGTGTCTTTCTGAAAGGAGCTCTGCTGGTGTAGTGGGTAACACATTGGGCTAAGAACAGCAAGGTTGGCAGTTTGAAACCACTAGCTGCTCAATGGGAGAAAAATGAGGCTTTCTCCTCCCATGCAGAGGTATCGTCTTGGAAACCCACAGGGGAGGTTCTCCTCTGTCCTGTAGGGTCACTATGAGCCAGAGACGACCTGATGGCAGTGAGATCTTCTTGAAGTTTGGGGTCACTCAAGCGTCATTGGCCAACACATTTGCAGGTCATCTCCCAGGATGGGAGACGCACTTTATGGGGCTTCTGGTCTACAGTTTTACAAGTGACACTTTTCTAACACTGTCTCCAGGCTCAGAGGAGGGTCTTGTTGGGAACATGGACTCTCTGTGAGGTGCTCTTCCAAGCAGAGGGGGCACATCACAGCCAGCGTTGCTCTCCGCTGTTCCTAGCCCCCTGCTGGAGAAATGGTGTCAGGTTCTACCAGGGCATGTCTTGGTTCCCATAGTGCCTTCTTTCAACCTTCCGGTTTCAGGGTGAGTGGATGCTTGTGCTTCTATTTAGGCCCCGGGACCTTCTTTATCTGTATATTTCATCCCTTCCCTGCTCCGGTCGTCTCAGCACCAGGGGGTTAGATGTGGGGTCAGTCGGTAGCTTTCCCTTTACAATGTCCTTATTTGTGGCTCGGAATTCACCTTTCTTATATTAATCATACTTTCTGTGCTTTCCAGTGAGTTGCTCTCTACCAGCGTCTCCTTTGTCGAGACGATTCTAAAGAAGTAGATTCTTGCATCTCCACAAAGAAGCTTTAAGCTCTTGGGGAGCTAAGAGTCAGTGTGGTGGCTTTCTGTTCCCAGGCCCCACACGGTGTAAGTTAGCGAGGGGAAAGCACCTTTGCAGTTGTCAGCTTCCTTTTGAAAAAGAAAAATCCATCTAAGCAGTAAATGCATGTCAGGAGAGAGTAAAATGGAAGGGCTTGTGCTACCTTCTTCTCCCTCCTCCCAGGCCTGCTCCTCGAAGGCAACTCCTTTGGACACTACGAGCTCCCACAGGGCTCGTAGGCAGTGGTGAACGTGTTCGCTGCTAACCCAAAGCTTGGCCGCTCAAGCCTGCTCGCTGCTCTCTGGGAGGAAGATGCGACAGTTGCCCTTGCACCGATTCCAGCTGGACGCCTCCGTGGTCCTTCTCGTCTGTCCTGTATGAGTTGGAACGAACTCAGCCATAGCGGGCTGGTCCGCTAACATTCGCGTTGATCGCCGACGAGCATTTTCTGTTGGTTTCTACCAGGCCTCTCCTTCCCTCACGTTCTCCCTCTAGTTTTGTCAGGATTTTCTGTTCTCCCGCCGGTCAGTTCTGTGGTCTCCTGCAATGGATGTCAACCT